AAGCTACTCATATGGCAAAGTTGCAAGAACGAAGTTTGGAATTGTTATAGAAACGGTTGGGGCCTGCAAATCGAACACAAGGTTCTTAGAGTGAGAAGAAGAATACAGTTTCTCACACCTTTGACAAGAAAGTGATGCCTCAGGAGAAGAAAGGAAATATCGAAGGTTCTCAAAAGAGCATTTTGGGAAAGCCGACATATACATTTCAGAAGAAACTTTCTCCGAAAGAAATGGAGGAACATAGGGCTCAAAACTTGTGTTTTTTCTGTCATGACAAATTCTTTCCTGGACATGATTGTCCTCAGAGGAAGAAAATGCAAGTTTTCCTTATGGAGGTTGGGGAGGAAAACCAATTGGACACAATGGGAGCTGATTCTGTTCCTGAGGAAATTTCTAATGATCCTACTCAAGGTGTTGACCCTACTGTTTCACTTAATGCCATTCAGGGAGACTCTTCTCATCCTATGATGAGATTGATAGGATGGATGGGCAAAAAGAGAGTTCATGTACTCATAGACACAGGCAGCACGCATAATTTCATAAACCAGAAATTATGTAAAGAGTGGCTCAATACTCTACAACCTATGCATCCCTTGCGGATAACTATAGCTGATGGCGGTCTTATACAAGGTACAGGACGGTGTGAAGGCATCCGGTTAAAGCTTCAAGGGTATGATTTTCTTACTAATGCTATTGCAATACCATTGTTCAGTTGTGATATTATATTGGGCATGCAATGGTTAAGGCAATGGGGAGTCATCCATTGGGATTTTACCAATATGGCTATGGAATTTTCTATGAATGGTATGCCGGTGAAGTTGCAGGCTGTTAACGAAATTAAAAGTAGCATAGTTTCAGCTTCTAAATTGCACCAGTTAATGGTTGAAGACAGTTTCTGTTATATGCTACAATTGCTACCTTGTTCCACAGAGGCAATGTGTTGTTCAGTGACCACTGAGGAGCTACAGGATCAGGTGATGGTGGCTCATAGAGAATCTGTTTTACATGAGTTCCAAGAGGTCTTTGAAACACCTACTCAGCTGCCACCCTTTAGGGATATTCATGATCATCAAATTGTGCTAAAGGAGGGTTCTAATCCGGTTAGTTTAAGACCTTATAGATACTCCCCAGCTCAAAAGGATGTCATTGATGGCATGGTTAGAGAGCTCTTGGATTCAGGAGTAATTCAACCAAGCTCTTCCCCTTTTGCTTCTCCAGTTGTGTTGGTAAAAAAAAAGATGGGAGTTGGCGAATGTGTGTAGATTATAGGCGGTTGAACGAAATGACGGTGAAGGCTAAATTCCCAATTCCTTTGGTGGAGGACTTATTGGATGAATTAGGTGGGGCAATGGTGTTTTCTAAACTGGATCTTAGGGCTGGATATCATCAAATAAGGATGAAAACGGAGGACGTACTAAAGACAGCGTTTCAAACTCATGGGGTGCAGTATGAATATGTGGTGATGCCTTTCGGCTTGTCCAATGCACCAGCTACTTTTCAAGGAACAATGAACACTATTTTTTCTGGTTTATTGAGAAAATGTGTTCTTATTTTCTTTGATGACATACTAGTGTATAGCCCATCTTTGGAGGCACACGTGGATCATCTGCGACAAGTGTTTCAAATCCTCAAAGCTCACACCTTCTATGTTAAGAGAAGTAAATGTGCATTTTTCACGACACATATCGAATACTTGGGTCATTTCATTACACCTACGGGAGTTACTACTGACCCAATTAAAGTTCAAGCTGTGACAGATTGGCCGGTGCCTCAAACTGTTAAGCAATTGAGGAGATTTTTAGGATTGACGGGTTACTACAGGAGGTTCATTAAAGGTTACAGCATCATTGCTTCTCCTCTTACTGATTTACTCAAGCGAGATTCTTTCCATTGGACACAAGAGACGCACGCCGCCTTCACTACATTGAAAGATGCTTTGAGTAATTCTCCAGTGTTGGCCATCCCTAATATGCAAAAGCCATTTGTCGTTGAAACAGATGCTTCGAGCACTGGAATTGGGGCTGTGCTAATGCAGGACAGGCACCCTGTGGCTTTTATTAGCAAGGTTTTGTCTCCTAAAAACAGGTTGCTGTCAGTTTATGACAGGGAATTATTAGCATTGGTTCATGCAGTCTCTAAATGGCACCAATATCTTTCTTTGAACACATTTACAATTCTTACTGACCAACATAGTTTGAAGTACCTATTGGAGCAACGCCTATCGACTCCAACCCAATATAGATGGGTCACTAAGCTCATGGGCCTTTCTTATGAAATTTTGTATAAGAAGGGTAAGGATAATGTGGCTGCAGATGCCTTGTCGAGAGCCTCGCACGGTGAAGTTTTACAATTGACCGTCTCTTCTATTTCTTCTGAGTTATGGGACTCTCTCCTTAAAAGCTATGAACAAGATTCAGCTTTGCATGACCTCAAGCTGCAGGTTCTCGCTAACCCAACCTTGCATCCCCATTTCTCTGTTTTGGACAATTTACTGTATAGAAAACAGAAGCTGGTCATTCCTAATGACGGGCAAGTGCGATTGGTGATTCTACAATGGCTTCATTCTTCACATCAAGGAGGCCATTCAGGCATCAGGGCTTCTATAGCAAGGATCAAGAGCATATTTTATTGGAAGGGCCTTGCCAAAGATGTCACAAAGTTCATTCAACAATGTGAGACTTGCCTTAGATGCAAGTATGAACCTAGAACTGTTGCTGGTTTACTTCAGCCCCTGCCAGTTCCAGAAGGAGTGTGGCAAAGTATAGCCATGGACTTCATTGAAAAGCTTCCTAAATCCCATGGTAAAGACACGATTTGGGTAGTTATTGATCGACTGAGCAAATATGCCCATTTTATTCCTCTTGCTCACCCTTTTACGGCATCAAAATTGGCTGAAGTTTTCATTTCTGAAATTTACAAGTTACATGGTGCACCTGCCAACATTGTGAGTGACCGAGATCCCTTGTTTACAAGTAAATTTTGGGGTTCCTTCCTTGATCAATTGGGAATTTCTCAGAGCTTAACAACAGCCTACCACCCTCAATCGGATGGTCAAAGTGAAGTCTTGAACTGTTGCTTAGAACATTACTTGAGGGCGATGACATGGTAGCGGCCTAAGGAATGGGTCAATTGGTTGCCTTTGGCTGAGTGGTGGTACAATACCACTTCTCATTCTGCTATTCAAGCTACCCCTTATGAGATTGTGTATGGTCAAGCACCCCCTCTACATCTTCCTTATTGCCCTCAAAGTATCAAGGTGGAGGCGGTAGATCGAAGCTTCATTGTAAGGGAGGAAATGATCCAGAAATTACAAGGTAACTTGGTTCGGGCTCAAGCGCGTATGAAGCGGCAGGCTGATAAACATCGCAGTGATCGGGAATTCAAGGAAGGAGGTTGGGTTTTCCTAAAGTTACAGCCCTATAGACAAGCTTCTGCTCAATATCGTGCTTCCGAAAAGCTTTCTCCTCGGTTTTATGGTCCTTATCAGGTGCTACATAGAGTGGGAAAAGTTGCATACACCTTGATTCTACCAGCTAGTTCGCGGATTCATCCTACGTTCCATGTATCACTCTTGAAACCGTGTCCCGATGCGATCGTTCCCGTGGTTGCACTTCCTGAAGAGTGGGGCAGTTTGGATGATCCTAAGGAGCCATTTAAGATTTTGAAGAGGCGCTCAATTCAGAGGCATAATAGAGCAGTTACTGAGGTTTTGGTTCAGTGGAAATGGGAGGCTATGGAAGAGGCTACTTGGGAGTTGCTATACAAAATCAAGCTACACTTTCCTTATTTTGATGTTACAGCTTTTCCTTGAGGACAAGGAAGATTTCAAGGGGCGGGATATGATGCATGTATTAGTGTATACATTTGTTATTAGTTGTATTGGGTTGTTATAACTGCTTAGACAATTATATATAGTTAAAAAATAACCATCCAATGTATGCTTTTGTTGAATAAATAAAAATACTCTTTCCTCATCTCTACTTTCTATTCTCTCTCTCTCTCTCTCTCTCTCTCTCTCTCTCTATTCTCCCTCTCTCCCCTATCAATTTGTTTGAAGTGGAGTAATTTTATTGGAGATTTTCCAGGCTAATTTAAAGACTTAGATGCCTTTCCAGGACTCTCCGATCTTTGCAGGAGGGTGAGGAGGAGGAAATGCATGTTTAGATGTGAGGTGGGGTTGATAAAATCATAGCAAATGAGTGTGATTTTGCTATAAGCTACATTCTATAGCTTTACCAAACTACGGTAGTTTACTGTGACTTTTCAATTTCACCGTTCATGCAATCATGTGTGAATAGATATTGCATGTGTGGATATAAATAAGGTTTTGGTAAGGAGACATTAAACGTGAATGTTTGGATTAACGGTGAATAAAATTGATTTTGAAAAAATTAAAGTGTTAAAATTGATTTTAACATAATTGACTTTAAAATAATTAA